AAACAATCTGAAGTATCAAAGCATACTAAAAAGCGCATAGAAGTATGAATAACACAATAAACAATTTTCATTTCAAGACAATCTGAACAAAGATTTGCATAACGAAAAAATAAAAAATAAGTTATGAAGATTATTATTGTTGAATACATATAATGTCTGCACAACATTGGAATTTACATTACTAACCATATACTTATCTCTATTCTCACTTATTCATTTGATTATATTCTTACCAATATTAGAGGGTGTGGGTGTGGGTCTCCTCTTAGCGAACCCTCACACCAGTTCCAATGCCTATCAATTTCGACTATTTCAAGTCAAAAAGTCAGAATCAGTGCATCACTAGCTGCTGTGCGTCATCAGCAACTGGTCAAAACCGATGAAATTGTTAGACAGGCAACGATAAATTTTTATGATTAAGGCCATAAGCGCATGCAGAGTATAGCAAATACTGGTCTTTTCATATAACTAACATTTGCTAGCGTGAGGTGATTGGAAAATTCAAAAAGCCTTTTAGAACTATGTAGGAATTCAATTTCAAGAATCACCATTAAGATCAGTTTAGCCGGTTAACACATGAGAAATCTATGACGATGACAAATTTTTTCCATTATTCAGACGTCTTAATGGTAAGAGAAGCTAGCAGTATTAACATACCTATTATCACCTTTAGTTTCACCATTGTTGCATACTTGGCTGCAATAGCGGCGGTGTCCATTGCATTGATGTACTGTTATACTCATGCAGTGAGAGATGCTAGTTCGTCATACAGTAAACAATACACTACCACATCCATATCCTTACCGAATCCTTCAAGCTAGCAAAATGAGTTCGATTAGTGTTAAACTTTTACCAAATATAAAACAATATATGAAAATTTCATCACAGTTTAGATCATGATCTCAGCGTGCTAGTTCAATAAAAACTTTTTCTTGGAATTCTATTTTTACTTTATTTCCGTTAGTTACAAAATGGTATTTATTATTAACTGAAATAAAAATATATCTTGATTGAACAACATAGATAGATATATAAGTAAGTTCTTAAATATTATTGAGGATAAATTTTTCTAGAATTGTTGTATTTATTATGAGTGTATTGTTTTGTTTGTTTTGTTGATTGAGATTGATGTTGATCTGTTATTTGATTTTGTTTTATTAAACATTCATTTATAAATTGTGCTGAATTAACACTTGGAACACTTTCAAACCAATGTTTCCATAAATTATTTGATATTAAAGTACGTTTATTACCAAAAACAATCATTGCACATTTTGCGTGTCAAAAGAACATTCATACCAGAGACGTGCACCGCACCTAAAAACGCAGGTGCGGACGGCGGAAAAGATGATGTAAAATATAAAATAGTGACGGCGGCGGTCACCGCACCAAAAGCCTTTTCGGCGAGCGGACGGACCGCTCCGCACCTGCGTCAAGTCAGACGGACGGTCCGTCCGCACCTCCACGCGGCCGTCG